TCGAAAAAATAGATTTTTCATATGTTTTACTATGTGATCGACAAAAATTACGTAGACTTTTGTCCAGTGAGTGTACAACATACCGGATAGAAGTATATTATAGTGCGAAAATCAAACCAAACGTAAAATTTTTACGTTTCCCATTTGCACGAATCTTAGTATTTTCGCTGGACAATAAACTTTCATGTCACATAGTAAAGTTGATTAGCAAGCAAGTAAAATGTATATTGCGTTTTCACAAACTTGCTTCATTCACTGTATCGGACGCTGAACAGTTTGATATTCGTAAATTTCGTTCTCCAAGCATGTTGTTATGGCAAAGCCGACTTATCTGATGAATTAGATAAGTAAGTTATGCGATAAAATCTTCCTCCGCAGTCGAAACAAGGTTTCGGCATAAACGGCCTCATTTAAGCTGTAAAATATCCGTTGATAAATCACGCAAGTAGCGGAATGAGAGTCCATAATTAATATTTTAAAACGATTATTGTTTAATAATAGGCAAGTAACGTTCACCCGACTAGTCAATAAACCAAATCGAAGATTGCCCTGTTTAAATTAGAATAATTTATTTCCCTTCAAATCTGTGGTATAATTGTTGTTACTATTATCATAGGTACCCTTATTTGGATACGAGTACGTGAGATACATCGCATAGGGAGCGCACGATAAAATATCAAATTAGGTTTACTTGAATTTTAGATTCAGTCCCAAAAGCAATCACCGAAGTAAGGGTGGTGAGCCGAAGCTAGATTGGAATATCCCCCTGTCAACGAACGCACCTACGCAAAGACTATCGCTTCCCCAACCCAGGTTGCCACCGCAACAATACAATTTACTACATGTTTCGCCAGTATTCGTAAGTAAATTTAGACTGGTAATTTTCGTGTGATGTGATTTCCTATTATAACAATCAATGCAGTGACCATAAAGTTTAATAAACAATCTCTCACTTGCTGCGCTTGAGTTGATCATCGATTCACGTTTACAGAAACTGTTTTATGCACACTTTTTATAAAATTATTATTATTATAGTATAGGTGCTTTGAGCAAAAACGCCTGACCGTATTCTTATATTACAAATTTGATCAGTATGTACTGTACATGCGGTTACCAAAAAGCAATTAATCAATTGATGTTCGTTGCAGATAAACATATTAACATTCAGGTTTTATTGATTCAAACCGTATTGACATACAATAACTTATGAAATAAATCAAAATTTGAACCGCTAATATAAGATAAATATGTGACTAATTGATATCATAACTTTCACAATTGAATCAAACTTGTAATTGTTTCCTGGTTTAAACAAATCCCAGTAGGTAAAAGTTTACTAAACATCTACTCCATAATAATAATATGTAATATATAACATTATTATGATAGATGGCATCCCAATATGTCAGACCTATCAGAGATAGTTGCAATAAAATCTTTGAGTCTGTCTGCATCTGGACGCTTTTCAGGATCAACATTCCAACACATCTCAGCAAGTTTCTTATATCCCTCAGGTGCAGAATCTGGTATCAGTGGTCGCAGTCCATCCGCAATATCACACAATAAATCTCTATCAAACAACCTATCTCTAAAAGGTAATTCCCCAGTGGCCATTAAATACATAATAATTCCAAAAGAATATACATCAGACTTTTTTGTAAATTTACAAGTATGAAAGACTTCTGGCGCAATAAAGGTTAAAACACCTTGAATGTTTGATTTTAACCCATATGAATTCACTGATCTTGAGTGACCAAAATTGTAAATGCATGCAGTAGCTTTGCTTAATATGGTTGCTTCTTCTTCTTCCCCTGACCGAAACATCCCATAATTCATAACTATATTTTCCCCATGAAGACCACAATGCACAATTTCTGCATTATGAATAATGGTCAAAAAATGTGCAATATGCATCAAATATTGTGATCTCATCTCCCATGTCAGCTTGTCAAAGTTTTTTACCAAATATGACAAGAGACTACCACAATCAGCATATGACATAACAAATGCATACTCTTTTGTTTCTGGATTTTGTATGATTCCATAAATACTGGGATGATAATACAATTCATCACAATAGCCACCAAAACACTTGATATGATTTCTGAACTGTTAAATAAAAATAAATTAAATCAGATCAAATAAAAAGTTAGAGTTAACATTAATGATTGTTTACCTCAGTAATAAATAATTCAGGCATTTCATTATAATATTTAAAACATTTGAGTGCAACAATTTCTGGCATGTCACCTCGTAAATAGTGCTCACATTTGGCAGTATAGATAGTTCCATAACCATCAGATCCCATCTCCTTAATATCATAAAAGTCATCAAACTCCATATGCCTTATAGTTCCATTAGCATTTAAATATTTGTCAATTATTATTTCCACACTCTGGTACAACACCAAATAATAGTTTTGTGTAGATGGCTCTTGTGTGATTCCAATAACCCAAACATTGTCTGGTGTTAATATGTCTGTGTATTCTTTGATTAACTGTTGGAATAAACAAATACAAATTAGTCATTACACCAGATACACACTTAAAATGTTGATACCATTTGCATGATTTACACATTTGAAATAATTTACCTGATGAAAGTTAAATAATTGAGCATGCTGTCCATCAACAATATGTTTGAGTGACACTTTTATCCACTTATTTATTGCCAGATCAAACAGATCTGCTATATGTGTGCATCCATTTTGTAATAATACCACCTCTTGTATGTTTATCAGTAAAGAGTATTCAATCCATTGAATATAAGCATCATCTTTTCTCATTGTGTTAGCCCATGATTCCATAATAAATGAATCCAAGGACTTGTTGCCAGTTGTCCAATCAACAGGTTTTGGTGCTTTACATCTAAAGCAGAACGCTTTTACCATAGTATAATATGCTAACTGTATTGTGCATGCCAGACATAATCCCTCCTTATAACGATCTTTTATTAGATAATACTTCCCTGCTCTTGCATCATATGTAAATCCGATGGTAACCCAAACATTTTTGACGAGGATATCTGGATATTCGTCGCATAACTAGTGGAAATGATGTAGTCAGTAATCATGTGGACACCTTTCAATAAACATGACGCATAATTAGTAATGGGTATACCTTGTCATAATATGAACGTCCTGTCTCATTCGTTATCTCAAGTCGAACCAAGTTCATGGAAGGAAAGTAACCAGCGAGAGGTAATTGTATGTTATGTTCAATACATTCAAAAGGTATCCATTCCAAATAGGCTTCGTTTGCCGAGTTTGTTCGCATTTGTGATTTCTTTATAAATTCGTCGAGGAGGTCATTGTTGCTAGTCCATCCGTCAGATAATTGCTTATGACCGCAAATACACCATACAGGACTGCACCGAAGTATGCCACATGCGGGGCAGAATCCGTATCGAGAATAACAGTGGTAAAACCCTTTACTAGCAACCATGTAAAATTTATCTTCGTGCTTGGTAAATCCCTCTATCATGTTATTGCGCACCCCAAGCCAGTTTGCGTATCGTTTGAAATAACAAACATCGTCTTTATACTTGTGCGTCGGAAGCGAGTATATTCTGGCAAACTCACTCACAAATGCTGGTGTACATGTCTCTTCGCTTCCAATTAATAAAAGCATCAAAGGAAATTTACTAAATTCTTTATAGCATGCTAAATAGATGTTATCAATTTGGGTCGATTCAATATTGCTAAGCTTTAAATAAGGAATCCAGACAGCTTTGCCACCATATTCATGTTCTAAAAAGGCTTCTAAAACTGAAGACATCTTCATCGAAGTAGAAAAAAAGTCTGTGTTACAATGCATGTCATGATATTATCGGGGTATATTTATTCCGGCATGAGGACGTCTACAGGGGTGGTCAATAAGCCTTGTCAAGAATATAAAAATAAAGATGTCGTAGAACTATAATATAAATAGCATGATTATCAGTTAATCATCAAGAACTACACCTCGCCTCTAAACCTGATAGGGCTGAAAGCAATCGCCTGACTTTGGACTATTCGTTAAGCGACAAATGAATCGGACTATACTGTTGATTATCGTCATTGTCCATAGTTGTTCGCGATTGTTGCTGTCAACTAATACATTGATGGTCAGATTTAGTGCGTCTCTTTTATCCTTGATGACAATAGCAGTCTGTAACGCAATGAGGTATATAGTAATAAGTGTAATCGTATATTACTTTACTAATAATAACATAGACGAACAATCATCCATTATTTCAAGGCTGATGAAAAAGATGATGACTACCATTTAGCGTTAATATCTTCATAATTCGGGCATTCATTCTAAACGCTGCAAAAGTTGTGAACGCGATGATTTAAGTTTTGTTTGTGGCGTAAAAAAAGGCCTCCCATTTGTGTTATCTTTGACCCTGAAAATTCGTTGGCGCAGCGAACTTAAAAGTTGTGGTCGGTCAAACAAAGGGATATACTGTATGAAATTTTTATATGGCGGAACCTGCTGGAAAACGTACAGACAGCAACCTGACTGAATCGGGCGATTCAACTGACGAGAAACTTGTGGAAGGTATCATGGCGCTACTATCACCAATAGTTCAGGAAATGGATACGTCCATCGTATCAGTCAAGTCAAGCCAGGAGGCGCTAAGCAAGGAAATAGAACGATTGTTAGCAGGTGATGATCGCAACCATATATCATGTTGCCATCTGGGCCATTTTTTCTAACATCATCGTTGCGTGACGTCAGAACTTCAATTATTTGCAGAGGCTTCGGAACCCTCGCCTATACAGCCATCAGTTCAGAAACTAATGAATGCACGAAAGCGTCTCACAGCAACCAACCAAACTCTCAAGACTGTTAGCGACCGTATCAAAAAGATATACACACAGCTCAATAAGGAAAATCCCACGGTCTAGTCTATTTATCCAACGTTAACATAGAGCAGATTTTTTATGCTTTCGCCAACATCACTCCAATTTTGTAACTTTTACCTTTAACAAATAAACATTATATTTGTATAATATTTATTCGGTACATTAAATTAAATTTTATCCTCCAAATCACATTCAAACATTAATTAGTGCTAACACTTTGCGTATTCTCCAAGAAAGCTTTCATGCTATTGAATTTTTCAATCCTTTCTTGCACTTCCCGTAATTTATCCTCCAACATCATGTCGTGCTCACGCTTAACTCTTTCCTCTTCTGCCAGCTCGAGCCTGGCAGCTTCGATCATCTTTTTCTGAGTTTTTGCTCGTCTGCGCTTGATATACTCTTTCTTTGATCTTGTGGAGAAAACGGGTTGTGCAGCAGGTTCGGGATATGGTGTTTTCCGTCGCGTCGTAGGCGGTGATGTCTCCTGAGATGACGGTTCTTCCGCGGTTGTTTCTGACAACGTTGGAGAAGGTGATGGAGCTGATTCTGCGGAAAGCGGTCCCTTATAAGATCGTGTTATTAGATCGATACGCTTTTTTCGGTCCCATATTATTTCGTTCGTCGCCATTGATTTAAAGTAACGGATACGATGGAACTGTGTATATTGAGCGTAAAATTTATTTTTAGTCAACGAGGAAACCCCCCTTTTTGTTAAACGGGTATGCCGTGAGAATGTTCACCCACCGGAATCTCATCAGTTTCAAAAGCCTCTCTTGTCTTTTCCATGATTCCCAAAAATCTCTTCCAACGGGCAATCATCGGTTCAATTCGTCATGTCAACAATTATTAAATCACAAGTCAAAACACTTGCCAATTTCTTTTAAAGTCTATGCTCTCGCTGTCATTCTAGCCGCAGTTTCATCAAAAAGAAAGAAATACAGCAAACTCACATCTTCATATCCGATGATAATATCATCAGCATCGGGGAAGCATTCTTTGTCCCAAATGAGACGCTTGTAGGTTTCGTGGGCAGGTTTTAGCCCTTGCATTTTCTTTTACTGCTCGACAACAAAAAGCGAAAGAAAGAAAGAAAGAGAGAACTGAATGCGCAGAAAATCATATGTTTCGCAGTATGCATTAAGCAGGCGGTAACCCAATCATATCTAGTCATATTTACACGATATTTTGATCGACAAAAAGGGCGATGATGCTTAATCAAAACCACAATGCTCTAAAGCGCCCGCACTACCATCCTGACAAAGCATCGTCCGCTTTGGATAATGAAGGCAACTCTAAACGTCAAAGAATTTCACCCACATTTCCAGTTTCCAGTCTTCTCTACGAAACCTTCTTTACGTCTTGTAGAAATGCGCTCACAACCTCTCGTAACACGCCGCAAAACACCACCATTACGACGTCATGGGAACCCGGCGAACAAAATAGATTCTTCATTGCACTCGCTCGCTGCGGGAAACATAACGTGGTAGAAATTTCGAAACGCGTTGGCACCAAGAGCGTTTCTCAAATTCTCTTGTATATTGATGAATTAGAAAAAGGTCTTAGACTGGAGAAGTTAAAAGAGAGATTCGAAAAGGAAAATAAAACAAGAATAAAGAATCGACGCCGATTATACCTCAAGATGCAAGCAGCTCGAGAGATGAGCGATGAGTGGATCGAGATGGAGGAACGACGAAGTTTAGAACTTGCCGCGGTGGATGATGCAAAGGCGAGAAAACACGAGTCGAACGTGGCGGCATCACGTAGAATAACATTATCGTTGAACGATTCTATTCTGGATTTGGAGACTGCGTCGTCGTTTGCGGAACGTGTTATTGGTTCAGAGAATGATTGCATGGTTTCCAGGCACACACTCGTACAGTTGCGAGCGGAACTGAAACGTTGGGTTTCATTGATTGTAAGAGATATAATCGTTCTAAGACGTTTAAGAAGCGCGTCTAGTGAGATTGAGGTTTGTGAATTGGGAAATTAGAGGGGAGCGAAAGCTCGTAATGTACAGAGACAGAAAAGATTGTTGAAATTTATTGCATATTACTAGGTTACTGAATTGGAAGTGGAATACGCTCTAAAACTAAGAAGTCGCATTGTGAACAAATTATTTGACTGCTCCAATCAACAAGCAAAATCTCCTACCGAAGTAGTTACTCCTACGCAAACGACCCAACAACCTCATACTGCAAATACTCTTGGACAAGACTCTAACGATAATGCATCCTTTCCGCCATCATCTCCACATCCCTTCTCCGACGACGATGAGGATGGCGATGACGATGACGACTCTTCATCCGATAGCTATACGTCCGAAGACGAGGCTCTTGAGAAAAAGGATCGCGAATTGGATGCTAAATACGAAAAACACATGCGCAATCTTCTCGCCCCAAGAAACCGGAATATTGTAGCAGACTTCGAAGAGAGACTGGTAGAGTGCAGCCAAGAAGATGAGATTAAAATTAAGTTTGAATAAGTTTGTGTAACGAACAGAAAGGTCGGGTGAAATTCTAAATAAATAAGTGCCGTACGAAATATACTTTATACAAGTGAAAAATGATTTATTTCCAAATTTTTACATGTTGAGAAAAAAAAAGTACAGTGGCGTTTGTAAGTCTATTGTGTGTGTGTGTTTGTTTGTTTGTTGTTTTTGTTTGTTTGTTTGTTTGTTTTCATTATTGCTATACACCACCGTTTAGATGTATAAATTCTATTTCCAAAACCAGCCCGACTGTCTATTTTCATAAGGCAATATATCTGGGAAGTATGCTTTCAAAAAGTCCGTTACACTTCTCTTCATCATCGCTAGCGTTCTGGGAACGGCCGTTTCCATATTATCATTCAAGCAAAAAACGGCCGGTCTCTCGCGGTTGATAGAGTTGAGATTAATTTTGGTAACGTGTATACCGCCGAGCCCATAAAATTTGAATGGTGTTTGACCGAGGACGTAATTGTAGCGAAAGAGCATGTTGGTTATGTGAGTACGGAGTGATCGGAATTTGGTGGTGGTGGAGGATTGAGAGTTGGTGGTGGCGGTGGTGGAGGATTGAGAGTTGGTGGTGGCGGTGGTGGAGGATTGAGAGTTGGTGGTGGTGGTAGTGGAGGATTGCGAGTTGTTGTTGTTGTTGTTGTTGTTGTTGTTGTTGTTGTTGTTGTTGTTGTTGTTGTTGGTGGTGGTGGTGGTGGTGGTGATGGTGGTGGTGGTGGTGATGGTGGGTTGAGGGTCGGCCGGGCCTGCGTCTTCGCCTGCATCTTGGTTTGAGTTGTTTTCCGTGGACCCAGAAGATTCCTGCTCTGTCGAATCGTTTGTAGTATCTTCATCTCCAGTCTGGTTGTTTTCCACGAGGTCAGAAGACTCCTGCGAGTCATAATCGGTCAAGTTGTTTTCCGCAGACTTTTGCGGCAAACCATATTCTGTTGTAGTTTTACTGGGCTCCCCTTTCTCTACCGTGTCGCTCACATCTCTTCTAGTTTCAGTAGGTGTCTTTTCCTTCCATCCCAAATTGTCCACCCGTTCAATATAATCAATGTCCATTTCAACGTCACTCTCCGGGAGGAATGCTTTGACACCTTTCTCACCAGATAACCCAACCAGCATATGTATAATGCAATCTCCACACTCGAGCTTCTCGTACGCGACACTCATGAACACATCTTCGACACTAACATTCTTGACTTTACGTTTCATGAAATCTCTTCCCAAACAATATTCCAGAGATATGCCACAAACTCTCGCATCGGGTTTTACAACGTCCGGATCATAGAAACCGGAACGGAAAGGTCCTGCGGACTTTAGTTGATAAGGAAACCCGTCAAACGCCGACCAAGTGAATGTAGTCTTTCGGGGTTGTGGTAATGAGGACTCGTCCATGACAGACTTGTAAGATGATATCGTTACGCGTTTTGCTCCGGGAGCGCGACCATCTCTAAGATAATTGAGAATAGCAGAACGTTCGGCCCAATTGTAGTTGTTGTCGTGATTGACATCCATCTTGTAAAAGAAAAACGCTTTCAGTAGGGTTTCTCTGTGTTTTTCTATGATATAGTGGGTGAACATGAATGTGGTGTGAATCTCTGGTGATTCGCCACGGAATTTGTGAGATGCTGTGGCGTAAAACTCATCCTTCCATTGCGAGGTGATTTCGCGGAGGATCGATGGAGAAAGAATGTGTGTGGAATGGGAGACGTATACGCGATCGCGTCTGCCGAATCGTTTACCTTGAAAAATAAATAATTAATGAGCGTTAAATTTAGAGCATAAAATATTGCATACGCCTTTCGATCATCGCGCAACAATCTACTTACTCAGCAAGTAATTGGTATATTCCAAAGCGAACCATTCACCAGGATCTTTGCCACCCCATTTTCGTGGAGATGGAGCCACAGTTAAATGTTGTTCCGTATGGAGGACGTATCCAAAGAGTGGGGTGTAAAAGTCTGTGGGCAACAATGGCGCTCCAAGGAAGAGATCATCGTTAAAGTAAAGAAACTGTTTGATGAAAAAAAAATTAAATTGTCTTGTAAGAAATACCGAACAATGATGCAATGCTCTCTTTTTTTTTTTTTTTATAACCGGAATTCTTACCTGATCAGATAGACCATTTATGTTAACAATCTGAGATTCAATTGCCAATGAATTGAACGTAGGAAGCAGGTCAGTCTTGTTAACAAACACTTGACTGTGATGCACCATGTGCACCCTGCTCTTTCCAGTCTCTTTGTCTTTCCAAGTCATGTTTAACCACTGAGGAACCTGTCCATTGCGGTGTTCGTCATGTCCATAATCAGCACTCACGACGACTATATTACTAACATATTTTCCAAGCATGCTCTCTATAGAACGAATCGAATATCGTAACTCGTCATAGTCACGATAATGTTTGGCTTCCCTGGGCGAAGAACTTCGCCATGTTGAATATTTGGCCATGAGATTGACATGTCTTGGATCGCTACCATTTACCCAACTATATACAACGTCAAGCGGTGCAAGTGAGAGCGGAGGGCCCGAGAATGTCCCAAGTGATATCCAGGTTTCCTGCCAGGTTGTGTTTTTATGAGATTGGCTGGCTGCTGTATCTACTAAATCTATTGGTACGGGCGCGCCGGTGGATAATGTAAACTCGTTAGAAAATATGACGGACTCTCCTGCGTTTGCGTTGTATTGGAAAATAAATAACATGATGGATGAAAAAGCAGCCAATAGAATAGTGCGCCGAGGTATAGTTATTCCTGACGAAATCATCTCTTGAGAAAATGTTCTTTATATTAGATCAAAACGTTCTATTGATCTGTTGTAATGTTCCTTATTATTATTATGTCTATACCAAGAGTTTTCGCGTATACCGCGTATATCATCTGTTTCCTAACTTTTAAAAGAGTGTTATATAGCTCACGCCCAAAAACGAAAATGACTGATTATGTAGACAGACAGAATTTTTTTTAAGCTTTTTTTGTTCTAATTTTCCCATCGAGAGAAAGGGTGGTATATATATATATATGTACATATATATATACACCTGTATGATATATTATTATTATCGGGCATTGTATGACAGAAAGTTTATTGAAGGATAAGTTGTTATCCATCAATGAAAAAGAGAGATTTATTGTTAAGATCGGAGACATATAAAGTTAGGAAGTTGTATGTTATTCAGTGAATGAGCTTCTGAATAGAATCGTACACCAATTCTTTCAATCTTTACTCCCCCTTGTTGAGGAGGTTCATCAACTTTTGTGAACTCTAAACTATATCGATTTTTTTGCCAAGACTTTTCATAATATTCAATGCCACTGTTAATGGCAAAGATCGGCAAGGATCACCGTGGAAGTGGTTTACGCGGACTAGTTATGAAACCAAGGGAAAAAGCCGCATATTCTCTGTTCTCTCGCTGTATGATACTTTGCTATAGTAATGGGAATGACCACAAAAGACAATATCTCAAAAGCCAAACGGGTTAACTCCCAGTCAGTTTGTTCCATATTCTTTTTTGACAATGATCATACTGCTGCTCCTCCTAGCCTTTATTCTTTTTCCTCTGTTTCATAATGTGTTACATATTACTGCGGCGCGTGATATTATTCCCAAAAGAAGCTGTCAAATTTGATAATCGTTTTATTTGCCACAGTAACGACAATAATACATATTAATAACAACAAAGACACTGCAACGTTTTATCTCGTCACTGTGCCTGTAAAATACATGGTTTAATATTAACAAGTTAGTAATCGTACAACAGTGTAGTGCACTAGCCACAATGTAATGAATTGCGCCCATGCCGTAGTCCAATGAAAAGGCGCTTCTTTATTTAATCTGCCTTTAACAGGTATAGCTGTCTTGTATTGTGGAACCATTTGCCACCCGAATTCCGATTCCGATATTAATATCTTACCTAATCAGCATTATCCGATCAACTGTGACCATCGCCAGTGCATTGTCGTAAATCCTCCAGAATCTCATTACTTGTTATCAGATACTCTTTAAACTTACTGGATAATGTGTGATCCAGGAAACACAGTGTATGGAAGCTTCCTTACCCGTCTCCTTGTTGTTTTAATAACATCATTGACAGCAGCTATAATACAAGAATGTTGTAACTAAAAGAGCTCCAAATTATTTGAACTCGGTCATGTGAGAGGGTCACAAAACATATGAATTTATACAAGTTCAATATACATGATCGTAAATGGTTCATTTGGCGTGACTGCCAAGAAATCTAATAGATGACTTTTACGTCATCTGCATTTGTACGATGTATCATACACCTACCTGCATTTTTTTAAACACGTTAGCTTTGTGTCGAGGCGGTCGCTTGCAATCTGCACAGACAGACGTTTATCCGGATACCCTTATCAAATTGTGACTAACGGCAATTAAGTAATCAATGTTTAATTTTTTGTAGAGACTTTTCTACAATAAATGCCTTATTATTATTTCAGTCAGTAGTCAACTATGCTATAGTAATACATTCAAAAGGTATCCATTCCAAATAGGCTTCGTTTGCCGAGTTTGTTCGCATTTGTGATTTCTTTATAAATT